TTTAAATTGTAGGCGATTTTATGTTTGTTATTTTCTTTTATATTTCACGTCGGGAGAATAATTTCCAAGACACTAATGCGTTTTTACCTGTGCACTGCTGGCTCTGTTCTACTGGCTCTTTGACCTCGTCCATTGTGACTGACGCCGCCAACATGAACATGATGTTTACATCGCTCTTACTGCGCGCGTGTGGGTTTTCGGCAATGAGTGGAATTACTGAAATAAAAAAAATTATAAATGTGTTTTTTTGTGTGTGTGTTGTTGTCCCAACAACACATAAAAACAGATTTTATAATAAAGCAACTCGCATACAGAAACAGTAAAGTTAGAGATTAAAAATGAGATTAACGCGATTAAAAAACATAACGCGCTAAATATGACTGTAATTAATTAATCGCAATTAACGCGATAATGTGACACCCCTAATTAAAATAACTGGATACAGTGTTGTTGCTTGTAGCTGCCTCCAGTTGACGTAATGTCACTCACTGGAACTTCAGCAGAAAAAATCCCATGGGCCGAGACAAGATTTTTCTCATAGAGTCTGTCAGATTTGTCTGACAGATCACCTACAGCTTTCAAAAATATCAGATTGTTGGCAATTTTTACCTATTTTTAGATCATAAACTTTTTTTCAGCTCAAAATCCTTCAGTTGTTTTAAAAAATGCTTTATAATCGTTAGCTTTGGCTCCGCTCTAGCTCCTCTCGCTCTGATTGGTCAAAGCGAATACGTGATACACGAGCCCGCGCTCCATGTGTGCGTTCGCATGCATTCGCGTGTGCCAGAGGGAGAAAAGACACTACTGCACATGCTCAGTCAGTCCACAGCCACCAGAAGTACCTAGCCAGGCTAAAGGCTAATCTGGGATCATGCACCATTGAGCTCGGACCATTGACTTGAATGGGCGGCCATTTTGGAACCTGGGGGACTGGCTACCACTGAGTTTATCAGCTTGATTTGAAATGTGTTTGTGGGCGGAGTTTAGGTGTTTAGTCCTATTTTAAGGCAAAAGTAAAACTTCATGAAAATTAAAATTTTCTACCTTCATTTCTCTCTCCTCCTCGTCTTTCTTTAGCCTGTAGGTTCAATGCTCTTCGGTCTTCCTTTTAGTTTCCTGCTTCAAATGGTGAAAAGACGACTGAAAATCTGAGAGTAAAAGTACAGTTACACAGCAAAACATTTACTCAGTTACAAGTACTACTGCGAAACTTGTGCATGAGTAAAAGTATAAAATACACACATAAAAACTACTAACTACACAAATAAAACCTGAAGCTGACTTAAGTTTCTTTAATGCAGTCTTGATATGATATGGACATTACGCCTGCTTGTTACCATGGAGATTGCCTGAAATATTCAGCAGGCATTAAACCTATGTATATATATATATACAGTATATATATAGACAAGTTTAATGCCATACTGAGGAACAATATAACACTGCCATTTTCGCTCCCAGCTGAAAAGTTACATAGTACATCTTTAATACTACTAAGAATTTTATGCCTAAAAATCTCTATGCATTAATATGTAAATTGCCAGTGTGTAAATGACCTTGGATCTGCTCTTACATTGTCACTGTTTTCTTTTATTGTCACAGCGACAGATTTAAATTTGGCATGTGCCACAAATAAACCACAACCATCACCAAATTAATTAAGCAGAGGTGGATGGTTCATTCCAGTAATCCCACACCAGACTGAGAACACCAGTGAAACTGTGGAGATGGTGATTTGAGATTATGACCAAATTAAGACAAGATTTGACCAGGTTTTGTGACAGGTTTTGTCATATTTTCATTGTGACCTCTCAGTCTGGAACGAGCTGTAGATATTCAGACTATAATCTCATCTAAAGAGGAGGCTCTGTTCACACCAGTACTGCAGTAAGATATGGATTGTAATAAAGATATAAACCTATTATTAAGACCACAAATTTACTATGTTTTAGTGTCAAATGTTAAAATGAAAGTCTAATTAAATAAATATTTGCTTAAACTGCTGAAATAATGTTTTTTTCTTCCTATAATGTGAGATATACAGATTATGTAAAAGGACAATGCAATTTAACCTCTTTAAAGGTGCACAATGAGTGTGTATACTTGCACATCAGTATCCCGGTTATGATCGGGATCACGTGTGGATGCAGAAGCCTGTGCTGGGAGATACAAATGGGCAAAGGCAAATTTGGCATGTACAGGTTCATGCAAATGTGATGGCAGCTGCGCTGAGAAATACTTTGAATAAGGTTAATGATTTACAGTAGATCTGTGTTCTGTGTTTGGGGTTAAGCCTCGCTTGCATGCAGCATTTAATTACCATTGTGAAATATGATATGGCACTTACAGATCTTTAGAGATGGTTAAATTGTTTTTGTTCTCAAAAAAACAATAAATATAACATATTAATCAAAACATATTTGATTAACCCACACAACCCTTACATTCTCGAGGAAAACGGTCACATGACCTCTTTAATGCTTTGGAGTTTAGAAATAAATGGTTGTTTAACATTACAAAGTGGATAACTAAACAAATTAGATTATAAGAAATGGCTTGTGCAGTATTTTTTATGCCAGCCTCATATTCATGTTGTCCATTTAGTGACATGTGCAGTTCTCAGCTCCAGTGTTACATTACTTTCATGCTTGTACCATAAAAGCTAATTATTTTGGTCCTTAACAGCTCCACTGGTGGAGCTGGAGGGTCTGTTAATCTGTTTACTGTTGCAAACAGGACACGAGAGTTCCATCCATTTTTTTTCCATTTATCCGGGGCCGGGTTGTGGGGACAGCAGTCTAAGCAGGGACTCCCAGACTTCCTTCACCCTGGACACGTCCTCCAGCTCCTCTGGGTGTACCCCGCGGTGTTCCCAGGCCAGTCCAGAGACATAGTCCCTCCAGTGTGTCCTGGGTCTTCCCCGGGGCCTCCTCCCAGCGGGACATGCGCTGAACACCTCCCAAGGGAGGCGCCCAGGAGGCATCCAGAGCAGATACCCATGCCACCTCAACTGGCTCCTCTCGACTTGGAGGAGCAGCGGCTCTACTCCGAGCTCTTTAGGTGTGACTGAGATCCTCACTCTATGTCTAAGGGAGCACCCAGCCACCCTGCGGAAGAAACTCATTTCGACCGCTTGTATCTGCGATCAAGTTCTTTCAGCATTTCTCAAAGCTCATGACCATAGGTGAAGAGAGGAACATAGATTCAGCAGTAAATTCGGCTTTCGGCTCAGCTCCCTCTTCACCACAACGGTCCAATGCAGCGACTGCATCACTGCTGACACTGCACCGATCCACCTGTCAATCTCACGCTCCATCCTCCCTTCACTCATGAACAAGACCCCGAAATACTGGAACTCCTCCACTTGAGGCAAAAACTCTCACCCACCTGGAGAGGGCAAGACATCTTTTTTCCAGTTGAGAACCATGGCCTCAGATTTGGAGGAGTTGATGCTTATCCCAACCACTTCACACTTGGCTGCAATCCGCCCCAGTGCACCTTGCAGGTCCTGGTTTGATGAACCCATCAGGACAACATCATCCATGGACAGCATGAGATGGAGAGATGAGATCCTGTGGTCCCCAAACCAGATTCTGTCCATAAATACAATGAGCAGAACTGGTGACAAAGGGCAGCCCTGGCGGTGCCCATGCACTGGGAACAGGTTTGACTTAGTGTCGGTAATGAACACAGCTCCTGTTACGGTCATACAGGGACTGGACAGCCCTTAGCAAAGTGCCCCGAACCCCATACTCCCGGAACCCCCCCTGCAGGAGACCACGAAAGACATGGTCGAATGCCTTCTCCAGATCCACATCCAGATCCAGGAGGAGCAGTGTGGACACGAGAGTTGTTACTGCAATTTCCAATAATGTCAGAAAAGTACCTCTCTCTTGTTCTACCTAAACTGTGGTTGTACATGTGCATCTTTTCTCTGTAAATTTCATAGTGAACCTGGAGGTTTGATTTAAGCCATTTCCGTTCAGCCCTCCAGCAATTCCTTTTTTCTGCCCTGACTGAGCTATCAATCCTCCATGGAGCTTTTTGCTTATCTAAGTCACAGAGTTAAACAAATCATCAACATTAGAAGATGAGGGCGATTTCAAAGTTTATCATTTCTGTGAACAGTGCATCTGTGTTATCAGGGCAACATCAGCCACATTGAAATATTTACACCCTTCGTAATGAGCAGGTCCAGAGTGTGCCCTCTATTGTGTTTGGGCTCACTGATATCAGACAAGAAGTTTCACTGACAGCACTGAACTCTTCAGTATTTTTGTTACACACATTATTCACATGTACATTCAAATCACCAGTAATGATAAAACCATCAAAGTCTGTGCAGACAACTGAAAGCATTTCTGTAAAATCACCAATAAAACTTGACAGTGCTGAGGAAGTTTGTATATGACTATGTAGAGTCTGCAGGGTGATTGTTTTAGCTCCATTTTGAAGGAAACATACTCAAATGATGAAAACAACTCAAATTGTCATTCTATGCATAACCAGAAGTAAAAAATACATAAACACCTCCACCTTGCTCGTGTTTCAGATTTAAATTTGAAGTTGGGAGGGGCTGATTCCAATCGCACTGCATTACCCGTGTTTTGATCAGTTAAAAACACAAAGTCAAGAGTGCACTACTTTTTTACTTACTGGACACTCAGAAACCCCTAAAAATGGCATGTCTCCTAAATAGTGCCCTCAGTAAGTAACAATGTGGATACTCGGACACAGTCAATAATCTAATAAATGCTTGAATCAGGTAACAGTTATTAGATAGGCATTTGAACATTTGAACAACACTAGATAGGCAAAAAACACATTGACAGGACAAATTTTGAGCTTCCCTGAAGTTTTATTGTCTGTTTGAGATTCATCAGAACCAGTATAAGATCTCATGGATCTCTCAAAGACAAATGTATCCTGGATCCCACTGGATTTCTTTCGTAAATAATGTTTTTGTACTAATTTCTTTCTTTTTTTCTTTTTTTTTTTAGACTGTCGCTGCACCGTTTTGCCTCCTGTTTCCAGCTCCTCCTGCTGTGCCTGGGCCTCCTGTTCTTCAGCTTCATTTTGTTGGGCATGTCGGGCAGCATGTCATGGTGGAACACGGTCCCCCTGGATCAGTACTACCAACGACTTCTCAAACAGCATGGGTACAACAGGAAAGGATTCAGGCCCCCTGCTTTCCGTGATGCTCATCAACCTGTGCAGCTCCTGGTACAGACCTCTGCTTCCCCCAACGAGCTGACCACCAAACCAGAAGCACCCGCTCTGGCAACCAAACCCAAACCAGAAGCACCCTCTCCAGCAACCAAACCAGAAGTACCTGCTCCAGCAACAAAACCCCAACCCAAACCTAAACCAGAGACACCCACTTCAGCCTCCCAACCCCAACCAGAAGAACCTGCTCTGGCCATCAAACCCAAAGGAGAAGCATCTGCTCCAGCTACAAAACCCCCACTTCTCCACTTTCACATTGCCTATGCCCCAAACTATCACTTCATCATGGACAACGCTGATGCGTGCAAGAACCATCCCTTCCTGGTTCTAATGGTTCCAGTGGCACCCACAAATGTAGATGCACGAGATGCCATTCGTCAGACGTGGGGTAAGGAGTCCAGGGTGCAGGGGGAGCAGGTGCTGACTCTGTTCATGCTGGGACTGGCCAAGGGTCCTCAGGCCGACCAGCAGAGCCTCCAGCAGGAGAATGACCAGCACCATGACCTCATCCAGAGCGATTTTGTAGACTCATATGTCAACCTCACCATCAAGACCATGGTGATCATGCACTGGCTCTCCATGCACTGCACCAACGCCGTCTTTGCCATGAAGATTGACTCAGACATGTTTTTGAATATAGACAATCTTGTGGACATGCTAAAAAAGCCTGAAATACCCAGAGTGAACTATTTAACTGGGATGCTGATGGTGAACCGTCCAGTGGTACGATCCAAAAACTCAAAATGGTATGTGTCAGAAGAGATGTACCCTGAGCACACCTATCCGACCTACTGCCTGGGCATGGGCTACATCTTCTCCAGTGACCTCCCAAGTAAATTTGTGGAGGTCTCCAAGACAATCAAACCTTTTAACATTGAGGATGCTTACATTGGAATGTGTATGACAAAGCTGGGTCTGAGTCCAACATCTCCCCCACAGCCTTGGCAGTTTCAGGCATATAACTCAAAATATAACCGTTGCCAATTCTCCAGGGTCATCACCTACATCCTGCACTCCTCACAGCAGCTGCTCCAGTTCTGGACAGACTTGAAGAAATCTGGTCCACCCTGTCCAGAATGACACCACGAATCTGAGGTGCAGTGGAGTGGGAGTGTGGGTGGGTACAGTATGTGCTGGCCACATGGACTGCATTCATTCATACAGCCTGATCTGGGACTTGACCTGCATTCTGCCAGAACAAAGTCATGTATGAACAAAGTCACAACTGCTTTTCCAGCATTTTTGATCTGGTCATTTCTCAGGTAATTTACCAGAATATGCACGGAATGTGTGAATAAAGCCAAGGAATAATGAAGGCTGGTATGAAGTATCAGAGGTGTAGAAGCCACCTTAACCTTTTTGCACTGTTGTCTGTACAACATGTGGGCCCGGTCAAGCAGAAGTAAACAGCAAGGCCAAAAATTCAAGTTAATGCATCTGATATCAAAATGTATTCAACAGATACATATGTACTCTAGTTTATGAAACTGTTGACCTTTTTTCTGTACCATTTTTGGTTCTAAAGTTCCATACATTTTAAACAGACCATGTATGAAACATGGAACAAAAATTATTTCCCAAATTTCAAAGACCTGCAAATCATGTCAATAAATGGATGTATTTCATCATATCTTGTGTTATTCCATCTTTGAACTGTTGATGAAGGTACATGATTTTTCAAAAAAATGTATTTAAAATGATATAAATTTGCTTGGAAGGACTGACATATTTTATAGAAATAGTTTCCTTTCATTTTGAAGTAATATTAAAGTATTCAGAAGAAAAAAGCGACAAATGATGTAAAATCATGCACCTTAAACTTGTTTGTACAATTTTCCCTCCGTTACTTTTCCCTCCGTTACCATGACCTTTCTTAATAAAAAATCTCATGACTCAAAAAGTCAGAGGTTTTTAAACCTAATCTTGTACCATATGGTAGAAAACTATATGAAGCAAATATTCAAACCAGTTTGTTAAGGATATGTAAGTGAGAACCAAGAGTTATCACTGTTTGGATTTATTGCCCAAAAAGTGCTGCATATTTCATTACCTCTGTTACTGACATGAGTTTTTAAAAATTTTTGTCAACAACTTGAAAGAATATCACAGGTTTAACTTGACCCTGTTGGAGTGTTAACTCTTTTCTACATTCTGATACCATATACAATTTACAAATGTATATGGTAATGTTTGTTCGCGTTACTCGTATAATCAAATAATTACAGCTCTGGGAAGGAAATGGAAGCAACAAATAAATCAAGGGTTTTATAAACTTTCAGTGTGTAAACCATCAACAAAAAAATCTATTTGGATGAAAGGAATAAAAATAAACCAACAAATAAATAAATTTTATTTATCATATAACTCATTAAAGACAACCCCTTACAATACATTTAGAAAGTGGGAGGACATAATTGACTCTCCTTTACCATGGGAGTGGATTTTTAAATTAATTTACAATACCAATATTGATGTACAAAATAGATTTTTTCAAATCAAAATAATATACAATTTTCTGCCTACAAGGAAAATGTAAAAATTTGGAATATGATAGATACTGATGAATGCCGTTTTTGCTGTTTGGAAGTAGAGTCGACTGAACATCTGTTTTGGTACTGCCACATTGTATCTTCTTTTTGGAGTGAGGCAGAGAAGATGTGTTTGGAGTTGGGTTTGGTTTTCAAGTTGGACTTAGCCTCTACCTTACTAGGAGATTTTGAAAATAGAAGTGATCCTGTCAATTTAATTATAACCCGAGGAAAACGTTTTATTTTTAAAGCAAAAAACCAATTCTCACTTAATATTAATTATTTAAAAAAAATATATTTATCAGTACTTAACCTGGGAAGGTTATACAATTGAAACAGACAAAGAAAAAAAAAAGTATAAAAAGAGATGGGAAGTTCTTAAATACCTGGGAGAAAATTAGTATGTGATATATATGCTAATATATCTTATAAAACTGATGTCGGTCATAAAGATTTAAAGTAGGGATCTATATAATATTCATATATCTACTATTGGGACTACTGACACTACTACTGCTACTACTACCAATGATAATGATAATAATAATAATGAAATATTATTGTTGTAAGTATTGTAATTAATAGTAGAGATAATAATAGGTATTATGGATGTAATAATAATTAATAATAATAAAAATAGTAATAGTGATGAAAGGTAGTGGAAATAATAGGAATAATAGTGATAATAATAACAGTAATAATAATTAATAAAAAGAAATGCCTTTAGGGTTATGTTTTTTGAGATTGTGACATATGGTGAAAGATGATGAGGGGAACTGATGATGGTGAAAATAAATATTAGTTTGAGTATAGGGACTAATACATTTAAAAAATTATAATTTAAAAAGAAAAAAAAAAAAAAAAAAAAAGGGAAGGAAGAGAGACAAAAGGAACTTCAATTATAAATTGGCCGCAGTGTATCAATGTTCGGGAGCCTAGCGGTGTATTTATGTTGCACTATCACATTTAATCACATTTATATTGTTTTGATTTTGTGTTGGTGTGGGTGGTTGGGGGGAAATGGGGGGGCTTTTTTGTATTTGTTGTGGTGTTGTGGTTGTTGCTTTATGTTTTTGTTTTTATGTTGAATATTGCAATTGTTAAACGTTGATGTTTGTTTTGTTTTTTTGAATGTTATGTTCTGCTGTCTTTAATAATAAAAAATAAAAAAAGACCAACAAACACCTTAACAACAGTCAATCAGGAGTACGGGCATATCGTCACCCGCACTCCTGGGATAGAACTGTGTCTGTGTGTGTCCAGGAGGCCGAGGACAAATGTCCCTAACCAACATATAAGAACATTCACACATTCTCCCTCTTTTCTGCATCACTCAAGGAAAAGCAAAAAACTAAAGCACAATCCAATTTCCCTTTATCAGAGAATCATGTAGCTCCATAAAATGCTTCTTTATAAAAACAGATATGTAGATAATAGGGGTGGGACTGGATTAATAAAATTAATCTAATTAATTAAGGCTTTGTAATTAATTAATTTTAATTAATTGCAAAAGAATATTTGCCACAAAAGCAACATTTATTTTATGTAAATGAATTTTAGTGGACGACTTCATCAAATAATACACATAGCTCTTTTAATGTCTAGAAAAATGGCTAGAAAAAATAAATTGCATTTCATTTCAAAACAGTAGACAAAGATAAGGTCTGTGTCCAAAACTGAAGAGTCTAAAGTTAAAGTGCCATTTTACTTTAAGATTAACATTTAACATTTTACTTGTTAACTCCTGAACATTGACTTCTTGATGTTGTGCAAATGGTAAAAAAAAAAAAAAGAACATACCCTTGCGTACATGTGGCTAAAAGTTAACAGTGCAACAGTGCACAACAAACAGTGCATAACAACAGTGCACAGCGAACACATTTGCCACACAATATCTCCATTTCTATTGTTTCTCCTTCTCTTTCAGTCAGTTGCTTAAACAAACTAGCCTGTTCACATTTTTCAGAGTTCAAGGCAGATCTCTTTTTTGTTACTATGTGACCTGATGTGAGAACAGCCTCTCACATGGGACAGAAGTGGCAGGGCTAATCAAATACTTGCAGGCCAGGACAGACAGCTGTGGGGGGTCCCTGCTCGTCTGGACCACCACTGCAGTGGGCAGTCTGTCTTGCTGTTGGTGGCTCAAGGACAGACACCAGGTGTTGGAGTTTCACCAGCTCTGATAGAGTGAAGATGGCTAGCCTGTGCTTCTGTTGGTCTAAAGCAGCAAAAACAGCCTCTTGATCTTTAGTAGACGAGAGATCATATCCAGCGTTGAATTACACCTCATGGAAACATCCCGTATGAGTGGCTCTTTTTCTTCACTCCAGTCTTGTTTGCTCCTGGTGTAGTTCCTCTGTATTAGCAGGGCTGTAACCCACTATTCTGTGGCATTTTGCAATTGCATCACTAAACCCACTATCAGCAAGACTAATAGTGATGGTTCTTTGCAAAATGTGAGCAAGGCATGGTTTGAATGGGAAATGTCTTGCTGCAGCAGTCATGGTTCATGCACTATCTGTTCCAATTGTGGTGACCTTTCCTTGAATTCCCCATTCCTCTGCCACAGAGAAACTGTTCAAGTGCAGTTTTCAGCATAGTGTCTGGTGTTTGTCTTCTGCACAGTGAGGGCAAAAGACTGTTTATGTCACAGACAGGACATGGCATCTACAACGTGTCCAGTGACACCAAGGTAATTAGAATTACTAACCGAGGTTCAATGAACCCCAGTCAGCGTTACAAATGTAGCCTTCTCCAATGCATCCAGTTATGCTTGCTTTTCAGTGTCATACAGTTCAGAATTTGAAAAGTTTGACCACACTTTGCTATCTGTAGCCCATTTACTAAACTCTTGTTTCTACCACTGATAGTGGTCTACAATCCTGGGCAATCCACTTGGCGAGTGAATTTGTCAATGTTTCTAATGTTGACTTACTAATTTTCTTCCTGAAACCAGTCATTTGTTCGAGTTTGGGCTGCTGACACCTCATTACCTCCAGCAGCTCTCTCAATACTTCCATCGGGTAGTTTTATGAAGAGAATTTTACTGTCCGGCAGACCCAGAGCGCTTCCATGCTCCATTCTTGTTGTAGTGGGAACTGTGTGCATCAGTATAACTGGTGTAAAACAATATGGTGCACTGACAAACACTCTGTGTTGTTTGACATGCAAACTGCGATAAAATGCGTTATATTTTTAATACGTTATTTTCTTTGTAAGTAATTAACCGTAATTAACGTGTTAATGTCCCACCCCAGTATACAACTGTTCAATGTATCTGTACTGCAAAAGGCAGGGCATAGTTTTAAGGGAAATCTCCAGATTTAGACATTAAAGTCTATCATAACTTTAAAGCTTAAATCAGCTGACAACATGTGGGCAATTCTATATCAACTGTATTAGTATTTCCTCAAAGCAATTTAATTTTAGACCATCATCCCTCTTTGGGCAAAATTAGGGAACTCTTGGATTCTGCAAAAATCATTATAAGATACGGGGCTTATAATGATTTCTGCAGAATCCATCAGGTTCCCTAATCCATACTGGAGTAGAAAATGTTGGTTTATATAACAAATGATGTGTTAGAAATTACAGATTTAAATGTTTTAAAACTTGTATGCCCATTACTTGTATACTGAATACTTTCATTTGTGCTTTGTCAACTGGGTAACACCTATCTAAGCCAACAAAACAAAAGATTTAACTCCTGTGCATAGGCTGCAATATAAACACAGAGATTTTCACCATGTGTCCACAATCACACCTTATGCACACACACCTAACCCAACCCTATGTAACCTTTCTGATGGTGAGTCCTCCACCTGCTTGTGGCCATAAAGATGTTATTGATTTGCCTAGTATTTTCCAAAGTATGGAATTAAACTTCTGCATCTCCTTGTTTGTCTCTACAACAGGCAGGTGAGCTGATTTGTGCTGTTAAACAAGTCCCTCTCAAATAAAAAACTGTGTTTTGAAGTTAGTCACACTCAACCCTTTGTGTTGAAAATGTAACACCTCAACAACGCTCGTATTTATAACAGACTCCAAAAAATGAAATGTTTCTAGAGTGTACAGACACTTAACACATCCTGGATTACTAGGACTGCCCATTTCCAAAATTAAAAATTTCTATTCCACCTTGTGATGTCATCAAGAGGTAGTTTTAAAGTTAGCAGCTATTTATAACCTCAGTAGAAAATATTTACTCCACAAGTCTACAACATCTTCACATGCACCGAGGAGTGAGGCTAAAACATTTTAACAGCTAAATATATATATATATATATATATATATATATATATATATATATATATATATAT